GAGGGGGCTCCGCTAGAACCGCACGACAGGTAAGACCCCGCTTTCTTCTCCCCGGGACCATCCCTCCGGGACGGGACGGACAGCGCGGTGCCCCGGAGCTGCCGGTCCCCGTTTCCCCGGGCTCCGGGGGTGGCGGTGCCGGTGCCGTCCCCCACGATGCCACTTCCGTGAGTGGGGCCTCTCCGAGCCCATCGCTCCATGCAATCCCTCCGCTTTTCCCACCAACCATTTCTTTCCACCCCCGCTTTATCCCTTGTTTATTTTCATCCCTTCCCCCCCCCGCCCCTTTTATGTTGCTACCTCTTCCCTTATTTACCTTATTTTATGGTTTTTGCCCTTAATTTCCCAGCAGATAAACCACAACCTCCCATTTTCCAAGCTTGCTTGCACATGCATCCACTCCATCAAGATGAAAAGTGGGGCAACTTAAACTTTTCCACCCAAAAACCCCATACAGGGTGATTGCCCCCAGCCCCCCCTCACCCCACACACACACTCATGTGTCCCCTCTGGTTTCCATCCCCTTTTCCAGCACAATCCTCAGAGGACTGACTGCTGCCAAACATCAAATATCTGGGAATTGCATTCGGAGCATCACCGGTGCTCTGGGGATGTGGCAAAGCTTTTAGGGATGGAGCACCCCTGCATCCCTGGTTGTGTGGTACCAGCACCCCACGGCTCCACCCAACCAACCCCAGAGTCAGTGCCAAAGCATCCCAGCAGTTCCCATCATGTTCCCATCCTGCATGTTCCAGCAGCTAAACCCAATGCTGGCAGCTGCCTGTGCTGTTCCTGTCAGCCAGCTGTGGATAGCGGGGAGGATGAGGATGAGGATGAGGATGAGGATGAGAGGAAGGAGTCTCCCCAAGCTGTGCCACTCGAGTGAGGGATGAGAAACTGGGTTGTGTAACAGAGCCCCTTCCACCGTGGCTCCCACCGGGTATAAATAGGAACAGATAATTGGCTTTGCAGAGGGAAATGTTTGTCCTTTTGTGGTGAGGGAGCAGAGACCATAATAAGGCTGGAAGGGAGTGTCTGTGCTTGGAGCTGCTGAGATGAAGCGTCCAGCTCCAGGTGGCTCCGGCCAGGACAGAGCTCGGTACAAAGCTGGGTAAACAGGGAGTGACGTTCCGTGGGTTCCAGGATGGGCATGAGATGTGACAGTGGGATGGCAGCCAGGTCCCTCCATCCATTGTGTGGGTTCCTCCATCCCTCAGGCAGTTTCCTTCGTTCCTCAAGTAGGTTCATCCATCCCATGGGCAGGTTCCTGGATCCCTTGGACATATTCCTTCATTCCTTGGCTGTGTTCCTCCATCCCTTGGGTTTCTTGCACAGGGAAGGCCCAGCCAAGAGCTGGCACACGTGGATCCAGCCCAAGAAAGCCCAGCCCAGCAATGGAGGAAGCAGGTTTGACCTCCACGCTCCTGTGGGTGCTGCTGACAGGATGGCATCTGGAAGCAAGACCCTCTCCTGGGAACAGGCATCCTTCCACTCAGGGCTTGGTGTGCCTGTAGCTGTCACACCAATCCAGTGACAATACTTGTGACCAAATGAGGAAAATCCACATGCATTTCCATCCTTAAATCCCAGGGGAAACCCACCCAGCAGCTGCCAGCAGCAGAAGAAAAAGGGGATCTTGGCCCTCGTGCCTGCTTTTCTCTTTCTCCATATTTTAATTCTGCCATTAGAGGAGGGATTTGCTTAAAAATCACCTGGAAGAAAAAAGTCCAAAACCCAGGAATTTCAACTTGTGCAAGAACTGGGAAACTGGGAAGTGGCTTAGGAAGCAGAGGAGATTTGTGCCAGCAGGAAGGCTCAGTCACAGCTGGCCTTTGGAGCCAGAGTGTCCCACCTGGGAGCCCAGTGGGAATGTCGGGTGGGATGCTGGGAGACTTGCTCCTGTCGCCTGGACATTGAACAAAGGCAGGAAAAGTGGCAGCAGGAGCATGAGATAAGGAACAATGTCCCTGGGCGAGGGCTCCTTGCACCGTGTCCCGCATCCCTTTGCTTTTTTGCTTCTTTAATGAGAAGGAACAGAAGTGGCTCCGGAACAGAATTTTATTTTTAAACTTCTGAGAGAGCTTTTACAGAGAGAAGGGAGTCCAGGCAGAGATCAGGGATGGAAAAGTTCCTTTGATCATCGCTTGCTTCCCTGATGTTGCAGCAGCAGCTGCGGCTCATGCTGGGGGCAGGTTACCCCCAAAACCCTCCTGTCCCTGTCCCCTGCCTCAGGACCAGCCCCTCATCTCTGGTTCCCATCAGGTTTCCACCTTTCGAGACGATGCTCTGCAGGTGCCATTGGTGAGCAGGAGCTGGAGGGGTTTCCTGATGACTGTGGGAGGCAGTGTGTTTCCCTTGCCTCTGGAATAACCTTGATGGCTCGAGGAGGAGGAGAAAAGGGTCTTTTTCCATTTCTGGCCCCATCTCCAGGTGTTGGTGCTGAGCAGGAGGGAGCACCCTCCCTGGAACCCCTCAGCAGTGGGTGTGCAGAGGCCAAGCTCCTCTCACCATGCGGGGGCAGGCTGGGGTCTCACTTGGTGGCCACGGGACTTTGTCAGGATGCTCCGTGTCCCTGGCAGAGCCTGGCTGCCCTCAGGTGTGTCCTGCACCACCTTCTCCCTTCCTTGGCAGCCAGAGGCTGTGGGCTGAGGGCTGCTCTGCCCCAGTCTCTGCTCCAGGGCTGGCCTGGACCCCCTGCCTTGGTGCCCAGCATCTCCCACCCTTGCCACGTGTCCTGCCCTTCAGCAGCTGCCTGGCTCCCTGGGCTTCCCACAGGATGCCCAGGCTCCCTGCCCTCCCTGGAGAGGCTGATACTGGAGGAAGAGCTGGGGGGGCAAGGGCAGCTGGCAGGGGGTGCTGAGGGAGCGGGCACAGCAGCCAGAGGGATGTTATTCTTAGCCACCCGCAGCCCTGGGGTGTTGAGTTTCACCCACTTGTTTACTCCAGGGCTGAGGGGATGGTGAGGGGCAGCTCCTGGGGAAGCTGAGTGATCAGGGGGGAACCCTCAGCCAGACCCCCCAACGACAGGAGCCATGGAGAGGGGTGTGAGTCCTGGACCAAAAAGCCCTACATGGCCAGCAGCCCCTGGCCCCGAGCCCCAGCTGCTCCCCCAGCTGCTTGAGGGGTGCTGGCTGGATACCCCCTGCCCTGGGGTCATCTCCTCCTGCCCCCTGCAGCCCCCTCCCCAGTGGTGTCGAGAAGTCCCTGGGAACTCACCAGTGCCAGTGGATGTCACTTTCCAGGTGCCCTCCTTGCTGAGCCCACACGTCCAGGACAGCCGAGCACCCCCAGTCCCGGGAGCGGAGGCGCCAGGGCCGGTGTTTATTGCCTGTGCTGGGGGCGGTGAGGGGAGGTGTCACCTCACCCCCAACCCCCTCTTTTTCTTTAATCAAGCCAGTGCTATTAATATCAGGTAATGAACGTAATCTGGAGGTTAAGCTATCCTCTTATGCTGCTGACCGCCCCGCAGCTCCCGGGCACAGACACTCCCCCTGCTCTGCTCCCTTCTCCTGCCTCCATCTTCCAGCCCCCTGGATCTGCTGGGGCTCTACCTCACCCCGGCCTCCTGGGACCCTTCAGTGCCCATTCCAGGGGGACACCCCGTGCATGGCTCCCTGCCCCAAGAATCACCCTGGGAGCCCCGCTGGCATAGCCCCTCCCTCACCCTGGTAGTGCCGGTGGGACAGGAGCCGAAGTGTGGACAGGGACAGGGGTGGCACCTGTCCAGGATCAGCCCGGGGTCAGCAGCAGGGGGAGATGAGCAGCCCCCCAGCCTTCTCCAGCGTCCGCATCTCCGGCTGCTGGGCCCTTGGGCCAGATGGCGGGTGAGTTTTGCTTTGTTTTTGGGTAGGATTTGCTGTTTTTCATCTGTTTGTTTGCTGGAGTGAACTCTTGGTGGCTCCTGTCCCAGTCCCTCTACCCCAATTCCTGTCTGAAAAGATTGGCCTCCCATGGGACATGGCTGCAGCCAGCCAGGCACCTCAGCAGGCTGTGGGGGGCTGCTGGGGGGTCCGTGGGGCTGGGAGCTCGGTCAGTGGGTTGTTTACAGGGCACAGAGCCCGGGACATGCTCTCCTGTGTGCTGCCAAGTTCAGGTTTGGGGCTGTGCCATCTTTCCTTGGAGCTGGGGGCACTTTTGGGCCCTGCTGCCTTTGCTGTCCCAGCCCCACATGGGTGCAGGGTGGTGGGGGGCTCTGAAGGCAGATGCACAGAGCCTGAGCACAGTGGGGAAGGAGAGGGGTGTCCTTGCACCTCAGTAAATCCATGCTTGGACTAAGCAGGAACAAAATTCTTCCTTCGTTTGTGCTGCACAGCAGCAGAGCTGGAGAGCCCTTCTCAGGAGCAATATCCCCCCACCAGGCTTCGTCTGGGATGCTCCAGTGTAGGAGAATGGATTAAAGCAACCTCACCCCGATAAATTACAGCTATGTTAATTACCAAAATCTGCCTTGCCCTTAATGGGTCACAGCCATGTCCAATAAGGATGAGTGTGATACTTTTATCACAGTGGGTTAGTAGCTCTGGAGAACAGTGACCAAAGGGGAGAGGGAATTGCTGTTGTGAGGGGTCAGCGGTGAGGTCAGTCAGAGCCTGCAAGGGAAGACTGCAGTGGGAGTCTGCTGGAGTTGGAGTCTATGGGCTGAGCTTTGAGCTCTGGGACCTTTTCATGCTGATGGACTAGAGTGTGTGGAAGCAGCTCATTTCTACCTCTAACACTCCAGCAAGGATGCAGCGGCTGCAGGGAAGGCAAGGCATCCCCAAAAGCTGAGGACAGCCTGGAGAGAACTGATGGCAGCCAAGCCCTCCTGGAAGGCTTGGTAGGAGAGGGGTTGCCAAGCCCAGGTGATGTTTCCTTTCCTCTTTGTGTGGCTTTGGCACTCCAGGGGTTTGCTCTGCTGGGGAGGGTCCGTGTGGGAGATGTGCCCATCTCCTCTGGGCAGAGCAATGGCATTGAGTCCAGCTCTAAACAGAGCCCCATTCTCTGGGGCTCCCTCTTGCAGGTGCAGGGCATTGCAGGGGCTTCAGCACTGCTGCAGGGAATTTCTGAAAAGGAATGGGGTGGAATGGTCAATAGAGATGGCTGAGATCAGCCAGCCCTTTGGAGAAGAAGAGCCCCTTCCTGGCAAAGGCATCCATGGAAAACATCTACAAATCTTGAAGTGTAACCTTAGGAGACAAGGCATGACCTTTGGAGAACAGCCCTGCAGCCCCACAGCCATGCTTCTCCCAAATAAATCATGGGAATTGTGGATTTGAGAGGTGTAGAATATCATCTGCCTGTAGAAGATACAGGCGTAGATGAGGTGTAGAGGTACAAGTTTAGATGATACTGATAGAAATGTGTAGAATTTTGATGAAAGTGCAGAATTATTTGGATGAGATAAGGCAGAGCAGTAATTCTTGGGACAGGATTCGGGTGCTGCACCCCAGAGCAGCCCCAGGTGTGCAGGGAAGGATGGCTCCCCTCCTCTCCTGGGGCATGTCCCTGCATCCTGTGGCAGTGTCCCCTCGGTGCCAACACCCTGGATGTGCTGCAGGCACCCTGGAGAGCAAGAGATGACATTTGGGAAAGTGAGGTGGGGCTGTGGCTGTAATTCTGGGAACTGGTGGAGATGTTGGAGTCCAAGCCTCTTCCTTGCTGCCAGGAGCTGGGTGATGCTGATGCCGGTTGGAGGCAGTGGAAGCAGAGCTCAGCCTTGATCCACCTCCAAAAAACAGAGCTTTGTCCAACCTGGAGTCACTTTGGGAATGGTGGCCTGGGCCAGGATCTGCAGGCTGGCACAGCAGAGCTTGGTGCTGTGTGACACCAAGGAGCAGAGCATCCCAACAGGCTCGCCTGTCTCGTGGAGACTGATGTGCAATCCCGGGGGAAAAGCGTCAGAGCAGCCCATGGCTCTGGAGTAACCACGGTCTCAGGAGAGGGGCTGGGACGTGGATGAGAGGAACCGCTTTCTTCTGTGGTAAACAACTGTGTTTTTGTCACCTCTGCTTCTGTCAAGCCAAAGTGATGTTGTTTATGCCTCAGCACCCCTGGCTGCTGTCAGGCCCGCTCTGGGAGTAGCACTGGCAGATAGTGGATGCTGCAGCATCACCAGAGGGAGAGGAAACCCAGACATTCCACCTGGATTTGCTTCTCCTCATGAAAGGAGACATTTTTCCAAAGGAAGACACCTCAGAAGGTTTCCTAATGGGTGTCATCTCCTGAAGCTGCTTTTTAAGAGTCGTAGTTGGGGTGTTTCGGGCTCCTAGTTGAGCCCCAGCCTGGCAGTGCTTGGAGCTGGCTGTGTGTGCTGATGGGCTCTGCTGAGGGATGGGGTTTGGTGTCTTGAGCTCTTGTGGGGAACTCCATGAGTGCACAGCTTACGGTGGACATTGGTGGGAGAGACCCTGACACGGGCAGGAGCTGCAGCCTGCCTTTAGTTAGCAGGAGTTCAGCAGTGCCAGGCAAATCCCTGTCTCCTTGCCTGCTCCACAGAGATGTGCCAGAGGTGGGGTTGGTATGCTGGGGGGATCCTGCCATGGCCAGGGGTTTGTTTCCTGTGCAGGGCTGGGGGTTGCTGGGTCACTTCACACACAGATGGACCTTCTGAAATTTTGATCTTTATCTAAAATTGTTCTAAAAAGGGCTGGGGGAGGGAAGGGGATTAATCTTCATACCAAAACAGCTTAAAATCAGCCCAAAATCTGTAAAGCCCTGCAGTTTAAGCCCTTTCAAGAGCAAGCCATATCAGAGCAGCAGCAAAGCCCTGCTGGCTCTGTCGGGCTGTACCAAACAGTGACAGCTTGAAGCCAGTGGTGCCCAGATCTCTTGGTTTCCCTTCCAGCCCTGCCATGGCTAGGGGGAAGAGCAGGGAAAGCCCTTTGTACTTTCTCCCAGGGAGCAGACGTCCCTCTGGGGCAGCAGATCAGGAGCAGGGAGGAGCAGGCACTGGTATAAACAATCCTCCCCGTCCCTTTGCTGGCCAAGCAGTGGCTGCAGCTTATCTCCTGGCCAGAAGCCACTTATCTCCTCCTGACCACAGCTCTCCTCCTGCCAAGCTGGAAAGGGCTCTGGAGGGTGCCTTGTTCCTCTCCCTCAGGAAGATAAGGGAGCATTCAGCAGCTCCAGGGCTTTGGGTGAGCTCAGAGCTCTCTCAGCTCCCAAGGCAAATTGATGGCTCTGCCTGGCTCTGCCCAGCTTGCAGGCTTGTCCCTGGGGGCTTCAGGACAAAAGGCTGGGAGAACCAGGTCTTGGGTGTGAGTGGAGCACTCAAAGTGGAGAGAGGAAGGGGATTGGGTAGATGAGGATGGTTGTGCTGTAGCCTGTGTGTTCAACTGCTATCCCCAAGAAAGGTCCCTTGGCACACTAGGGTGGGTTGTTGCCCCCTGTAGCACACCTCTCAGTGCTTTGAGGGCTCTCTGGGGGATTTATTTCATGCAGACATTCTTCAAACACCAGGACTGTAGGGATGGATGTTTGCATGGTGCCTTTTCCAGTTTAAAATTGCTTCTGTGTGAGAATTCCTCGGTGTCATCTGTGGCCATGGGTCACAGAGATGTGGGTGCTGCAGCGAGGCTGTGCTTGGCTGTCCCAGCTCTCCATTGCATCCCTCACCTGTACAAAGGATCCACCAAAACCCTGCTCCCACACAGCGGGAATGTGTCCCCTTCCCCACCACCAGTGCCCCTTCCTCTCCCCGTGCAGTAACAGCAGTGCTGAGTCCCTGGACCGGCTGTATCCCGCCGTGGGCTCCACCAAGCCCCCCCGCAAGCGGACCACCAGCCAGTGCAAGTCCGAGCCCCCGCTGCTGCGCACCAGCAAAAGAACCATCTACACCGCGGGCCGGCCACCCTGGTACAACGAGCACGGCACACAGTCCAAGGAGGCCTTTGTCATAGGTAGGTCACCTCTGCACTGCCCAGGCAGCATCTGTGCCACCTGCCCCATGGCTCTCCGGGAGATCTTGGTGGGAGTCCTGCCCCACAACCTCCTTGGAAATTTGAGGTTGGCTCCAGCCTGGACAGGAGCAGGGGGAGTCGCTGTGGTAGGTCCTGCATTGACTGGGTGGGCTGAAACTGAGAGTGTGCAGGTGATGGGTTGTAGGACACCACATTCTGCTTCTTATCCCTCAGCTCCTGGGGCTCTCACAAGTTCCTAGGGCTTCAGTCTGGACTGGTTCCCATGCCAGCACTCCCCATGTTACATTCCCATCCAATGATAGGTTTCCCAGCTTTTGCTGGGCATGTTGCTGGCATGTTCCAGTACATGCCATTTGACATTTTCTGGGATAATCTCTTGGAGTGCCTGTGACTTCCCTCTTTGGAGGCTCCTCCAGCTTAATGCAACAGCACAAGACCTGGGCCCCAGCCTGTGGTAGGAAGAGCTGTGTCTGGTGTTGGTGGCTTCATCACCTTTTCCCAGCAGGACTGGGAGGAGGCAGCGCCTCTGGGAAGACCACAGTGGCCACCATGATCATTGAAGCTCTTGATGTCCCCTGGGTTGTTCTGCTGTCCATGGACTCCTTCTACAAGGTGAGGCTGCACCCCTGTTGGCCTGGCCAGGCTCCTCAATTTGCCATTGCTCAAAGAAGCCGTGGCTGCCCCATACCTGGAAGTGTCCAAGGCCAGGCTGGGCAGGGCTTAGAGCAACCTGTTCTAGTGGCAGATGTCCCAGGGGCTTGGAATGAGATGAGTTTTAAGGTCCCTTCCAACCCATTCCAATCTGGGATTGTATGGCAGCCCCTGGTGAAGAAACATGTAGATTTAGGGACAGCCATGTGGCTTTTCCTTTCCAGTAGCTCTTGTGGGGCAGGGAAGAGGTGACTGGGCACAGCAGTGGGGAGGGAACTGCCCAGCCATGTGCCCTAAGCTCTGCTCTGTGGCAGGTGCTGACCAAGCAGCAGCAGGAGCAAGCAGCCAGCAATGACTTCAACTTTGACCACCCCGACGCCTTTGACTTTGACCTCATCATCGCCACCCTGAAGAAGCTGAAGCAAGGCAAGAGCGTCAAGATCCCCATCTACGACTTCACCACCCACAGCCGGAAGAAGGAATGGGTATGGGACACTGAGGGGGGTGGGACAAGGGGGGGATGGCCAAGAGGGGACAGAGGGGGAGCTGACTGGACCCCTCCAGCCCCTGGCCTTTGCATCTGATGGATGCTGTCACCCCCTGCTCTCTGCCTGGCTCAAGGTATGTTTTTTTGGGTGAGCTGTCACAGTCACAACCCAGAGAGATTCCCTGGGACAGGACACATCTGAACAGATGTTCTGTGCCTAACCACATCCATTTTGACTCCACAGAAAACCCTCTATGGTGCCAATGTGATTATCTTCGAAGGCATCATGGCATTTGCAGACAAGGAGCTCCTGAAGGTGAGGAAGGGTTTTGAAGCAGTTCCAGGGTGAGATGGTGGGAGGATCTCCTGAGGTCCTGCAGCAGGGAGGTGACCTTCTCTTCCAGGTTACACCAGATGCTGCAGCACTTCCTTCCCCGGGTAGGAGAAATTAGTTTTGACTCTCAGCAGCCAGGAAAGAGTCCCTGGCAGAGGTCAAGTGTTTCAGCAAATACCTTGATCTCAGCCATTTGTGCCCAGGAAACAGGAGCTGAGTGGTGACCTGATTCCTGGCAGTGCTGGTGCATAAACACAACTAGAAATAGCCCACCTCCACACTGCATGCTGCAGCTTGCACAGCCAGAGGCAAAGTCTGCTGAACTTCTACTGCACAGAGCTGGTGTTGCTAGCATGGAATCATCCAGCACTTCAGGCTCTCTTGGGGATTATTTGGATGTATCATAGAATGACAGAATGGTTTGGATTGAAAGGGACCTTAAAGCTCATTTTGTTCCACCCCCTGCCATAGGCAGGGACACTTTCCACTAGACCAGGGCTGCTCCAAGCCCTGTCCAACTTGGCCTGGAACCCTTCCAGGGCTGGAGCAGCTATAGCTTCTTTGGGCACCCTGTGCCAGGGTCTCACCACCATCACAGGGAACAATTTCCTCTCAATATCCCATCTAACCCTTCTGTCAGTCAGCGTGAAGACACTCCCCCTTGCTCTGTCGCTCCAGGCCCTTGTCCAAACTCTCCAGTTCTCTTGGAGCTTCTTTGGATACTGGAAGGGGCTCTATGGTCTCCCCAGAACCTTCTCTTCTCCAGGCTGTACAACCCCAGCTCCCTCAGCCTGTCTCCATCCCTTGGAGCATCTTTGCAGCCTGACAAATGCTGCAGCAGGCAGTGAACCATACACAGACTTAGCCAAGTTCTGTCTAAAAAGTTTCCTCCCCGCCAAGTGAGCGCTTGGGCTGCACTTTTCTGGAGCAAGGATGACCTCCAGTGGACAGCTGTGTGAATCCTCCAGGAGACGCCACTCAGCATCCCACTCCTGCCTCTTGCAATTAAAGACACAGTCATGAGCTGCCCTTCTGTGCTAGGCTCCTTTCCAGCATTAATTCCCTGCTTGTGGCAGAGGCTTGAAATGAGATGATCTTTAAAGCCCCTTCCAATTCAAACCATCTAAGGGTTCTTTGATTAACAAGCCAGTGCTTGGTGTGTGTCACAGACAGTAACTCATTGTCTCCTCCTCGCTCTTAAATAACATCCAGCCAAAGTGTTGGAGCTGGTTAGCAGTAGGGACAGAGTTTGGAGCAGGACAAGTCTCAGGGGACACGAGAATAAGGCAGCAGCAAGGGGCTCACAGCAGCACCAGCCAGGTTCCAGGGCAAAGCTCCACACAGGCCAGAGCAGAGGCAGGCCCTGTTAAGCAGGAGCTGGGCTCAGCCCCACCTGGGGCAGCAGGGGAAGGTGGGTTGAGTCCCAGACCTGACCAGGTGGGATTTTTCCCCTCTCCTTTCAGCTCTTGGATCTGAAGATATTCGTGGACACGGACTCGGACATCCGCTTGGTGCGCCGCCTGCGCAGGGACATCAGCGAGCGTGGCCGGGACATCGAGGGTGTCATCAAGCAGTACAACAAGTTTGTCAAGCCTGCCTTCGACCAGTACATCCAGCCCACCATGAGACTGGCAGATATTGTTGTCCCCCGAGGTACCTGCCCAGGGCTGTCCTCAGTGGCACCCCTGAGACACCTCAGAGAACTCTGCCCTCAGCTCTGGGCTTTGTGGTTTTCTGAACCCCAACCCTAGGTGTAACCCCAACCCTAGGCAGAGCAGTAAAAGCAGCCTTGGACTGAGGCTGGTGCTGGGCAGAAAGATGTGAAGGGAGCCGAGTTGTGTCAGTCCTGTGTTCCCCTTGGCATGCCTTTTGTAGCTCAGAGTCCCTGGACCTCTCTCTGGTGGGCATGGACACAGAGTGGCTGGTCCCTGCCAAAGCAAAGGTCCTTCCAGCTGAGGGTCTCTGCACAAAAGTGTGGGAAAAGTCTGTGGTTTTTCCTCAGCCAGTCTTCTCCCCTACCAGCTCCACAGTGACTTAAGAGCTGGAAGTGACTTGGAGATATCCAGTAACAGATTATTGAATAAGGATTTAATAAAAGCTGGAATGTCTACTGCTTTGCAAGGAAAGGGCTGTTTTTGGGAAGCAGTGTGGTTTTGAACATAGTGAGGAAGAAACCTGTGATCCTGACCAGGGTGACTTTTCTTTCCCTGGTATAAAGTAACAAGACAAGAGGAAATGGCCTCAAATTGCACCAGGAGAGGTTCAGATTGAATGTCAGGGCAAAGCTCTTCCCCAAAAGGGTTGTCAAGCCCTGGCACAGGCTGCTGCCCAGGGCAGCGGTGGAGTCACCATCCCTGGAGAGTTTTACAAGGTGTGTGGATGTGGCACTTGGGGATATGCTTTAGTGGTGGGCTTGGCAGTGCTGATTTAATGGTTGGACTTGATGATCTTAGAGGACTTATTCCAACCTTTACAATTCTGATTCTGTGATTATTTTGCTTTTGGGTCACTCCAGGGAGTGGAAACACTGTAGCCATCGACCTGATTGTTCAGCATGTCCACAGCCAGCTGGAAGAGGTAAGAGGTGCCTGGTCCTTGGGTGTTGAGGGTGGTTCACAGCCTTGCCTGGCAGGGAGCTGTGCTCTGGGTGCCCAGGCGGGAATGGCCTGGCTCCTGTGCTCCAGGTGTGGGAGTTCCTGTGAACTCCTCCCAGCCCTTTCCCTCAGTCCAGTGAAGGAAACTGCCTTGTCCCTGTGCTCTGGTTGGTCCTGGCACCTCTGCCAGCTGTGGTCCAGCAGCAGCTTCCTTCCCTGCCTGGGACAGCAAGTCATGAGGGGACAAACCAGCCACCCTCCTGTGATCCGAGGGATATGTCCCCCTGTCCGCAGCCCTCCCAGGGCCAGCATTGCCCCAAACCCTCCACTGCTCTTGGGCTTCTCTTCCTTCCCATGCAGACCCTGCTGCACAGTCTTTCCAGTCAGGAGCCCACTTTCCCACGTCTGTGCTGTATGCAGCTTCTGAGTTTCAAAATTCAAAGTCTTGTCATGTTTGAGCCCAAATCCAGGCACATGCTCCATCACTTCCCCACTGGTGGCTTAAAATCTTCTCCTGTTTGTCCTGGGCCAGTCCTGATCAGTGGTTTGGGACCCTGCAATGAACTGATAGCATTTTGTGTTGCTGGCCCTGAGCAGCAGTCTCCTCACACCCCACAGTTGTAGTTTTGGTGATGTTTCAGTTGTGGAAATGTTCAGAGTGATGCAGGGAGTGTGACCTGCAGATGGATTAACTGGAAAGTAAAGGGCTTGATTCTTTCAAGTCTGTTTTGGAGCTCCTAGGTGGCAGGAGCTGCTCAGCCCTGGGATGGGAGATGGCATGGCTGGGCATCCGGCTTCCCATGCCTGCTCTGGAGGGACTGCTCCTGGCAAAGGTGTCTTGGCAGGTTCCTCCTCCTGGACTACCTGGCTGCCTGAATTCCCAGCACTAAACTCTGGTTGGGAAGGTGGTTTCTAAACCCTCAGTCACAGGAGGAAGGATTGAAGCCCCAGCATCTCTGCTAGTCTGAGAAGTCTGCCAGGCTGAGAAGGGCACCCAGCCCTGAGGCAGAGTCCAGGAAAGGGGAATGGCTGTTTCCCCAGCTCCTGGGATCCAGACAGGGAATATCACAACAAACCCAGCACCTCCAGGGTGCCACTGTGAGCCAGGCAAGGGGTTGGCTTGGGGAGGGCTTTCATTTACCCGGGGAGGGGAAGAAGGGCAAAAGGCTGCATGTGAATTCAGGAAAATACTCCTGTTTTTCCTTTTTTTTTATCTTGAAACGACCCTGGTGTTGACAATGCTTAATACCGGTTGCGTTGTGTCTTTGTGTTGCTGCCGCAGCGTGAACTCAGTGTCAGGTAAGAGCCCTCACTCTGTCCTGTCTGTGCAGCCGAGGCATTTCCAATGCCAGGCACTGCTTGGCCTCACCCCGGCCCACGGCGGGACCGGCAGCTCGCGGAGCGCACGGCCTCGTCACCCTCCACGGTGACAAAAGGCCACCGTGCCCTTGGCTTTGGGATGGCAGGGACAGGGTTGCTCCCCAGGGAGGTACTGCCAGCTTGAGCACAGACCCCTGAAGCTGGGACAGGGCCAGGTTTGTACCTGGGGATGCCCGGTCTCCGCAGGAGGGGAGGCTTTGCATCCTGAGATTCTCTTTTGTTTCTCTTCATCCTCTAAAATGAATGATTTTCAGAGCCACTCTCCATCCCTGATGAGTAAGGATCATTAAACATCAATTATTAGGTTAGTCAAAGCACTTTGAAAAAAGGGTGGAGAGTGACTTTTTAAATGGGCAGAAAGTAATAGGACAAGGGGGAATGGTTTTAAACTAAAGGAGGAGAAATTTAGGTTGGGTAATAGGAAGAAATTCTTCCCTGTGAGGGCAGTGAGGCCCTGGCACAGGGTGTCCAGGGAAGCTGTGGCTGCCCCATCCCTGGAAGTGCTCAAGGCCAGGTTGGACAGGGCTTGGAGCAACCTGGGATAGTGGAAGGTGTCCCTGCCCATGGCAGAGAGTGAAATAAGATGATCTTTAAGATCCCTCCCAGCCCAAACCAGTCTGTGATCTTGGGAGTGGTGGGAGCCCTGGACCCCTCGCTGCACACAGGGATCTGCCTGGTGGCACCCAAAGGAGCGTAACAGCTTCACATGGCCAGAGGTGCCAACTTCCCCACAGCTTCTGGAGGATGCAGAACCATTTCTAGAGGACTGAGAAAGTCCTGCTGCCCCAGTCAAGCAGGATTTCTAATTTCTCAGTATCTGTAGGTGGATGATATCACATGTATTTTGATTTACTTAACCTCTGCAGCATGGAGCTCCAGATGGGACTTCAGCTCTCTTGCTTCCATTAAAAAGCCACCTAGGCTTTCAGGTATTCTTGTAGGGAGCGGAGGGAATGCATTACTGAGGATGGGTTTCCATTTAGATCTCCATCATTTCATGGAGATATGCAACTCAAGAAACCTTAAGATTTACATTTGGCATGCAAAGAGCTTTTAAAATAACTGAGATGAACAGGGAAAAGGCTCTGCTTTACTTATTTCTGCCTCAGCCACTCACTTCCTAGACTAGACAAGTGGATGTTTTATTTCCCTTTGCTTGTTTAACACCCTGGGGCCTGACATTTCCATACAGACACGTAAGCTTCCCTCTGTGTCTGGAGGTCCAGGTGGAAAAGTGCTCTTTAGTACAAAGAGAAATCTGTTGCTTTAAAAATGGCAGGAAAAACAGTAGAGAGGAGACTAATATGTGTGCAAATATATATATATATATATCTATCTATATATATCTATATATATATATAAAACACTAAATATATATATATGTATATGTGTGTGTATATAGAGATAAATACTTATGCACATACAAAATTTCCTTTCTCCTTAGTCAAAGAGTTGCTCAGTACAGGTGATCTTTTGCACTTAAAAATTGGGTACTTAATATATCCATAAAGTATTAGAAGTTTTACAATAGTAAGTTTGGAAAGGTAACTCTGGAAACACCTCCATGATCACCACACCCACAGGTGGTTTTATGTTCTGTTTAAGGCTTCCATTTATGCCTTTGACAGAAAACATGGGAAAAAAATCTTGCAAAAACCCAAATCTGTTGCCACTGCTGGAGCCCCAGTGCTTTCCTGCTGCTATGGTTTCCCCCAGCCCTGCTGTCTCTCTGCAAGAGGAGTGGGGTGGATGGAGGGTCACATCAAGTGAGATGTGCCTGGCAAATACAATTGTTTCCATCACAAGCAATTCCCATCCTCTTGTCTGGAATGGCTTCATTTAAATGTCACAGTTGTTCTGAAGTCACTGCTGTTTGTTGGTGGTGGGGACACAGGGAGGGCTTTGTGCTGGTAGGATAAAACCTGAATGCTTAGATCTCACCCCAGTCCAAGGTGTCTCTGTGGCCCTTGTGCTCCAGGGCTGCCTCTCCTGGCCAAGCAAATGGCTGGGGGTAGGCAGGGAGTGCCTTTCCCCACTCAGATGGGTGAATTCTGGGGGATTTAAAGCAAGTGGTGCCTTCCTTGGGCATGCAAGGCTTGTTTTCATTCTGAAACCACTGTCTCCTGGGGAAGCATGCTTGCCTTCCCAGTTATTCCCTCAGAGCACAGGTAGGACCTTAGCATCCTTAGGATATTTCTTGTCCAGCTTCCCCCATGTTTGACTGTGCTCCTGCTGGAAATGTGGTTCCATACCAGCACTCCCAGGTGGATATTCCTCCTGGAGCCTGGCAGCAGGAGCCAGAGCAGCCAGCCCATGCTGAGGCACAGTGCTCCCATCCCAGCCTGTTCTGCATCCCTCCTGCCACACTCTCAACATCCAGCCCTGCTCCTGGAGCCAGCCCTCTTTCCAGCTGATTCCCCTCGCCAATCAATATTCCCCACCCCCAAGGTCCCGATCAGCTTGGCATGCCCTTTGCCAATTGTGTCTTTAAATATCAACCCATGGCGCAGTTTAATAGCCCTTGTTTGAAATGTCAGCCCTGAAAGGCAGCCGTGTACGTGTTTGAAATGCCTTGACTGCATCATCTCCTTTGTAGCTGGATGTCTCTTGTCTGCTTCCTGCTCGATAGCATGTTCCACAAAGAGCCAAGGATGCTCCCTGAAGCCTTCCTGGGAGATGGTCACCCCTTTCTCTCTCTCTCTTTCTTCTTCTTTCCCTTTTTTTTTCCTTCAAAGCCTTTGTTCTCAGGGGGAAAAAATAAGTTTCCAAAATAAGACGTGCTCATGGCTGCCTGTCTGGGTGTTCTGTCACAGCCCTGTCTTGGCGGGGAGGGACAGGAGGCATCACGCTCCCTCCTGCCCTCCCAGGATGGGCAGGGGGTGACACAGTGGATGGCTGTTGGAAGGGCTGAGCTCTTCCCTCAGCCTGCAGGCCTTCTCCAGTCATGGTCAGCCCAAGGCAGGTCCAGGTGAGCCATGGGGAAGGAAAGTCTTCCCTGCAGATGATGTTCTGTTCAGAGCCAGGTTTGTCTCCTTGTTTCCAGTGCTCTTGGCTTTCCATGTTCTCCAAGGCTTGACAGATCATCATCCTAGAGGAGGAGGATACCCCTGTGAGCCCACAAGCAGTTTGTCTGAGAGAAGGGCAGGTTGGATGATGGATTTTAAGGTTGGACAAAGGTTTTTGGCCTTGAGTGCCTACACTTGCTTTGCGATTGCAGTGGAGCCCTGGGTGAGAGCTTGACATGAGCCCTGGTTGTGTTGAGTACTGGGCTGTATGGGGCTTGGAGCAACCTGGTCTAGTGAAAGGTGTGAGGGTGGAATGAGCTGATCTTTAAGGTTTCTTCTCATCCAAACCATTCCAGCATTCTATGGTTCTATGTCCCTCCAAACTCCAGGAGCCACCGTTGCAGTGTGGCACTACCTAGGATGGAGGTGGGACAGTGTCCCTGCTGTGGCTCCAGGACAGTGAGAGCAGACAGTTCTTTCCCCTCATGGAGCCAGTGCTGTGGAGAGCTGTGGTGGCATGACTTGGTCACCAAGGGAGGAGTGTTGGGTCTTCACAATGATGACCCAGGCATCAGGCAGGTCCAAGAGCCGTTAATCAATTAGGGGATTTTTTTCCCCCCCTCTGACTAATGACGGTGCTTTCTCCTCTGTTTCATGTCATGTTTGTCCCTCTCCTCTTAAACTCTCGTGTCTCCTGTCTTGTCTCCCCTGAACATCCCTCCCACCGGGTGACCAGAGGAAGCTGCGCTGGGATATGTGAGGAGACAAATGCTTATGGCAGTGTTTTGGTTGTGGCACTAACGGTGGGGAGTGGGCGAGGGCTGTGCAGGGTGAGCTGCCTCACTAACCTGGGTGGGGGATCCTGGGGCAGACAGCTCATGGGGTCCTGCTTTGCTGGGGCTGTGTGGGCCAGACAGAGGTGGGGGTGCTTGAAAGAGAAGCTTTATCCCAAAAATGGGACCTGTTTCCCCAGAAGGCACCATGGAGAGACCCCCCACAACACTGAGTGGCATCCAAGCAGGGGGGTATCGAGACTTCCCTGCCCCCACACTGCATGGGTGTTGAAGGAAGGTGTGGAAAACTTGGTGACAATGCTGACAGCATTTCTGGGGGGTCTGTTGACAGCTCAGGATGCTGGGGAGGTGTTCCCACTGCTCATGGAGGTTGGAAAACCCTTGGCATCTGTGGCAGGGAGCAGGAGTAAGATCACACCGTGACAGGAGAGGGGCTGCCCATACCACTGGCATGGTGGGATGCTGTGACATGGATCTGGCAGTGATGGAGGGGAAAAGTTCCAGTGGCAAGCTCAGTCCTGTGCTCCTTGCTGAGCTGTGGTGATGGGAGATGACCCAAGCAGCTCCTCTGGTTTAGATAACAGCAGTTTGTCACCTGGGCAAACCCAGCCGTGTGTGGCCCTGTGTCAGGACCCTCTCTGCCCCACAAAGCAGGTGAGCTGGCAGCCCCCATGCCAGCACCAGCACCTGCCCAAGGCAGGGCTCACACCCTCACCACCACATGTGTTGGCATCCCAGGGGCTGAGAGGGGTTTAGGCAGGGCTGTGTCCCCAGGCCAGCTTTGGCAGGAGGAGGGAAGGGAGAGCTGTGGGGGCAGAGCTGTGGGTGCTGCCAGCAGCACAGCCCTGGCATGGGAGCATCTCTGAGGGCTTCTAACCCACGGGACAGCGACTAACGGAGTGAGCTCGCTTCACTGACAGCAGGGCCAGGGCCTTGAGGGCTGCTTGTCCCAAACAGCAATGGGGTCTGCACACAACGGGCAAGCCCATGAGGGAGCCACAACCCATCCATGCTCTCTGCATGGCTGCCAGCTGTCCTGGCTCTCTGGAGCGTTCCCTGCATGGGGGCTTTTGGCTGCTACTCAGGACTGGTAAAGCAAGAAGGAGCCCTTAAGTACCCACAGGCCTTGGGAATGTCTCGTTTGGTGTTGGTTGGCCAAGACCAGGAGATGGCTATGTGGATGGAGGCCTCAAGCAATGCCCTCCTCCATGCCTATCCATCTTCTCTGTCTTCCTCTCTGCTTGCGTGCCTCTGTGTGCCATTAATCCAGGTTTCTGCTTGATTTGAAATCTTAATCATTCAGTGCTTTCATTTGCTCTCTTCTCTGCCTCCCCACCATCTGTGTTTTTTGCTGGATGCAGCCGCTGGCACGTGTGTGATCTGACGTGTGGCTTTCCAACCCCAGCCCTCCTCCCAGACAAAGTAGCTTGTCCATCCTGCCCAGCCTTATGGAAGCCAAATGTGACCTTCTCATTACTGCTGCTCTCACAGGGAGAAGTGACTAATGGGGCTCCATTGTGCACTTCGCCATGAATGGTGTTCCCTTGATCCCAGAATAGCTCCCAGCCCTATTCGTTATGTGGAATGAGTCACACAGAGCCAGTCCTGTCCAGCCATAGAGTCTTGAAGCTGTTCCCAATTTGGAATGGGCCAAGTGGTCTCTAAAATAGTCACATTCCAGATATGTGCCAGTGCTGCCAGCCTGGCTGCCTGTCCAATTCCTGGTGACATCTGGCACTTGTAGGTCACAAATGATCACAACAGCCCTTTCTCACCCCATGAGTCCAAGATCCATCAACAGATAAGATTCTGGAATAGGAGAAGATTTTGACTTCTTCTACTTTCTTCCCAAACAGTGGGAACCAAGATGGGCCAGCCACCTTCAGAGAATCTGTGGCTGCCCCATCCCTGCAAGTGTTCAATGCCAAGATGGATGAGGCTTGGATTAACCTGGTCTAGTGGAAGGTACCCTTGCCCATGGCACAGGGTTGGAACAAGATGGTCTTTAAAATCCTTTCCAACCCAAACCGTTCTGTGGTCCTGGGTCAGCTGCCCAGCAGGAAGGGCAGGTCCTTGGGCTGCAAGGTCTCCCTAACTCCAGTGACCCTGGTTTGTGGATGCAGGTCCCTTTGCCATGGCAGGGACCAGGCAGGGCTGGCTGCTCGCTCAGTTCAGCTGGATAGCCTCTGTGTGTGTTTGCAGTGTGAGATGACATCTGGGAGGATGGCTCTGGCCATGTGCTGTGCTCCAGCCCTCGGGCAGCCTGCCCCAGACCTTCTGACAATGTGTTTGGTTTTCAGGGCTGCCCTGGCCTCTGCCCACCAGTGCCACCCCCTTCCTCAGACCCTCAGTGTGCTGAAGAGCACCCCTCAGGTGAGGGGCATGCACACCATCATCAGGTAAAGCCCCTGCTGTGGCTCCTGGGGTGGGATGGGGCTCAGATGCTGCTGGGATGGGCTGGCCTGTCTCTGGGCTTCCCAGTCCCACTTTTGCCTGTTTGTATGGCTTGGAGAACCAAGATAGAGCAGATGGGGGTGGCCCCTGCATAGAAGAGCTGTGCAGTTACTGCTCAGTCATTTTGCCAACAATTTTTCTGCTTTTTACCTTGAAACAGACACCACACTTTCAGGCTCAGATGGTACAAACAAGAACAAGGAAGGGACAGGGACTGCCAGACCTCTGCTAGCATCTCCTGGGATGCATTTTGGTCAGAGCTGACGTTGCCTTTCCCTCCCCTCTAGAAACAAGGAGACCAGTAGAGACGAGTTCATTTTCTACTCCAAAAGGTTGATGCGGTTGCTGATTGAGCACGCGCTCTCCCTGCTCCCATTCCAGGTGGGTTCAAGGCTGCAGATGCTGGGTTTCCTCTCTGATTCCTAACCCTCAACTGCTGGGGAGCCAGGACAGTCCTGGTGCTGCTCCTCCAACCCTCTCCACGGACCAGTCCTTTGAACCCTCAAATTAAAAAGCACCAGGTCTCCCCAAGGCTATGGAGCAATCCTGTGGCCCTGGGTGACAACTCTTTGTCCAGCCTTGCTGTCCAAGGGTCCAGGGCTGGCTGGCTCCAGGGCTCCTGTGAGAGCCACATCTCTGGTAACTCTTCTCACACGTTTTTTTGTAGAGTTGCACAGTCCAGACCCCTCAGGGACACGACTACGAAGGGAGGACATACAGCGGGAAGCAAGTAAGTGGAAGCCAAAGCACTATTCAGACCTGCCCCATGGGGGTGCACTGAAAGCCCTGGCTGGGCTGGCCCTGGCACTGCCAGGGTTTTCATACCTGCTATCATGAGTATGACAGCCTGTACCACCAGGAAGGACAGGTTGGTCACCAAGGGCGCCATCAACAATGTGCCACTCATGCCCCCTCACTGAGGGTGGACTGGGAGTGGGGCAGCCCTCTTGGAAGGGATGTGCATTTGGGGTGCCCATTAGAGTCCCTTGCTGCTGAGACCCAGTGTGGGGTGGTGGCAGCTCCTACATGGTGCAGCCACCCTGGCCATGTGCTGCAGATCACCGGGGTGTCCATCCTGCGAGCAGGAGAGACCATGGAGCCGGCACTGCGCGCAGTGTGCAAGGACGTCCGCATCGGCACCATCCTCATCCAGACCAACTGCAACACTGGCGAGCCCGAGGTAAAGCTGAGGATGTCTCCTGGTGTGGAGGGTGGGGGCATGGCTCAGGTGTTTCCTGACAGCCCTTCTGCAGCCCAGGAGCTTTTCTTGGCCAGGGTTGAGTGCTTTGAAAGCTGCTCAAGTGGGTTTTGCCAGCAGGCTTGTGCACACAGGGGCTGGTTTGCTGCTGAGTGTTTGTGCTGGCTCTGAACTGACAGTCAGGGTCCCAGGGACAGAGAGGCAGGAGGGATCCTTCACTCCTCAAAGAGAAGGGCTCAGGTTGCTCCATTTGTCTGCAGCCTGTAAGCTGCTCTCTCTTTCCTCCAACCAGCTCCACTACCTGCGGCTGCCAAAGGACATCAGTGAAGACCACGTCATCCTGATGGACTGCACGGTCTCCACAGGCGCTGCAGCCATGATGGCAGTGAGGGTGCTGCTGGTACGGATGGGTTGGGTGGGGAGCTGGCTCTGGAGCAACCTGCAAAGCACCATCCCCAGCCATGCCAAGGGGATGTGCCTGGAACTGGGTCCTCTGCAGGAAGGAGGGTGTCAGGGTGCACAGCACAGGCTGAGGTAACTCACCCTGAGCTATCCCTGTGCATTTCCTGTAGGATCATGATGTTCCAGAGGACAAGATCTTTCTGCTCTCCTTGCTCATGGCAGAGATGGGTGTGCACTCAGTCGCCTATGCGTTCCCCCGGGTCAAGATCATCACCACAGCTGTGGACAAGAAGGTGAATGACCTCTTTCGGATAATCCCCGGCATCGGTGAGTGTCTGGGTAGGAATGACTTGCAGTGAGGGCATTTTTAGTGCTTGTGGTGGGGTGAGGACATGAAGCCCTGGTTGTCAGCAGCAGTTTAGGTCTGGCCTTACATTACCCAGAGCCCCAGTAGCCCTCCTGGATCCTGCAGCCAGGTGGGTGTCAGGGTCACCATGCTGGCTTTGAGGGCTGTGGAGCAGCCATCACCTTGTCAGCAACAGGAGCCATTCCACATTCCATGAGCCTCCTCCAGCCCCAGGCAGAGAAGTCAGGCTGGGGCAACTGGAGCAGCCCTGTGCCCACCTCCTTCCCTAAACTGCCACCTTCCACAAGTTCACCCAAAATAAGCTCACTGTTCCGTCCTCACCTCTACTGTGCCAGGAAACACCTTCCACCGGGTGTTAAACCAGCCTACAGGCTGCTCCAGTTTTGCTGCCACTCAATTTTTCCTGGTGTTCAAGCTGTCAGATAAACCTGCTGAGGACAGGCAGGAGGATGGGCTCCTGCAGTGCTGCACTCTGACTTTCTCTCCCCACAGGGAATTTTGGTGACCGGTACTTCGGGACGGATGCTCCTCCTGACTGGAGCGATGATGAGGATGCTCTTAGCACTTAGCTGGATGTGGAGGTGCCACTGGCACCAGGCAGCTTCAGCACCGCACCTTAACCCCTCTGTCCAGTGCAGATTTCTCCTTCCTCTCACCAAGCATAGATATTTTTTTCAAATCTTACATCGGAGATCTAGGGCATATTTTTTCAGAGAAACATAAATCCTAGTTTGACTTTATGGACAGTCGCGTGTCCCAGCATAGAGCGGAGTTAATTTATTTTAATTTAAATATTTGCCTATATAACTTATTGGAGATATTTTATAAAGGAGAATAATAAATTTTTTCTCTGGTTTTCTTGAACGGAGCCTGTCTTTTTCTGTCACTTCCCATGGGTGCCTAGAAGGATTTGTGGCCCTTTAAGACTACAGTCCTGGGAGGGGAGATGTCATAAGCAGTGGTGGGAGGTCAAGAATACCACACCGTCAATCCAAACTTGGTGCCAGAGTAGAAGGCAGTGCCTCCTGCCTGAAGGGAAACCAAAGCTATTACAGAGCATCCAAAGGAGCTACACAAGGATGGTGAAGGACCTGGAAGAAAAGCCATACAAGGAGCAGCTTGAGGTCACTTGGTTTGTTCAGCCTGGAGGAGACTGAGGGGAGAAACTGTTGGGGTCTGCAACTTGCTCCTGTGGGGAGGTGGAGGAGCAGGCTCTGATCTCTGTGTATGACCCGTGACAGGACCTGAGGGAGTAGCTGGAGCTGTGTCATGGGGTGTTTTATGTTGGATATTAGGAAAAAGTTCTTCTCCCAGAGGGTGGTTGGGCACTAAAACAAGCTCCCAAGGCTGCCAGAGCTCAAGGAGCATTTGAACAACACTCTGAGGCATATGAGGGGATTGTTGGTGTGTCCTGTGCAGGGCCAAGAGTTGGATTCAATGATCCTTGTGGGTCTCTTCTAACTCGGGTGATTCTATGAGGTTCAGCTCAGATCATATCACACTTCAGCGGAAGAAGAACCGAGTGCGTGTTGTGAGTTTGGCAGCCAAAGTGAAACAGAGCTCACTCCAGCCCCAGCTCTTGCTGAATCAGAGGAGCAGATTCTGTAGCTGACCCAGGACACAGTGACCAGGGTCTGACCTGTCACAGAGCAGGGTGACCACAGTGGAAGAGGAGCTGGCCCTGCAGTAGAGGGGTTCAGCCACAGGAGGCTGTGACCACCAGGGCTGAACATGGAGCATTTTCCCTTCGTGCAGGATTCAAAGTACCAACCCTACACCTTTGTGCAGGAGATGAATATCCCAAGAGGAGCATATCTATCTCGTTTTTGGGTATCCCTGACCTGGAGCTAGCTCCTGAGGGGTCAGGCAAGGCAAGCAGGTGCTGCTGGCAGCACGGGATGGGAGGATGATGCTCTGCCAAGCCCTCACCAAACTGGAGAGTCACCTGGTGATCACTCAGTGTGGGCTTGGGTGTGATGAGCCCAAAATAACCACCATTGCTCTGCAGCACATTGTGCAAATTCTCAGCTAGATATAAAAGAAAATACACACCCAAGTTCCTGCCAGCACTTCATAAGAGAAGGAGCCCTCCACGGAAAGCGACACTCAGAGCCAACACTGACACTTGATTAGTGTCTGCTAAAAATAGTTCCCTGTGTGGGTGGAAGGAGAGCTCATGAGCACAAACATGGGAGGACAGGCAGGCATGGGGGGTTTAGGCTGGAGCAGCAGGTCAGCAGCAGTGGGTCACCAGGTCTGTGCAAGAGCATGACATGAACAGGGACATCTTCACAAGCTCTGAACCCCATCCAACCTGGCCTTGAATGCTTCCAGGGATGGGATATCCAAATGTCACTCTGGGGGGGCAAAGCACCTCCTCTCCCCCAGCATTATTGGTGTCTGCCTTCAGGTAACGTACAACAGGACAAGAGGAAACAATTGTGCCGGGGGGGTTTAGAATGGATATTAGGTAAAATTTCTTCACTGAAAGGATGCTCAGACATTGGAACAGGCAGCCCAGGGCAGTGCTGGAGTCACCATTTTTCCTTAGCAGATCCCTCTTTTGCCTCAGATCTGCACTTTCCCCAGTAGGGTCATGTTTTTACTCAGAAGCTGCACTACCTGGTCTGTCTGAGTTCAAGAAAGGTTTGGATAAGGCTCTTATGCACATGCATTAGACTTTGTGCATGGCCAGGACTTGGACTCGATGCTGATGGATCCCTTCCACACATTCTATGGGTCAATTCAGCATATTCTATGCTTCTGTGATTATTTTGCTGCAGCAAACCAGCCCTGTGCCCTTGCCAGCAGCTCCCACTGGGCAGCTGCTCCTGCTACTGGCAAACACCAAGCCATCACCTCCCTTCCCACCC